CTTTTTTCCGCGCCATTACGGCCGAAACGTCTTGTCCGGAGCTCTCGAGAGACTGGACAGACATCCACGTTCTACGCGATTCGGCTGTAAATCAAATAACGTTTTACGAGCGGTTGGACTCCACTTGGACATCGATCCGAACTTTGACGAGTCAATTGCGTCCTCATTGGATTTAACGTTCTGGCGGATATCTTAGAATCCGACGATTTTCTTCAGGAAACTGTTGCCACGCAAAATTAAACGGACGTACAAAATTTTGTTCAAATTAAATAACTTTTTAACCTTTGCATCAATTTCGTCAAGTGGTAGGTAATTTCATTGTCATTAAATGTTTGTTGTTATACATTGTGTAACTAAGGGTGGATTTCACCAGGATTGTCAAATCAACAGTCCGTTATTCTCCACCTATAGGTAACAGTCCGTCGAATACAGCGAATGAGCTTCAATCTAAAAATTTTAGCAACCAATAGCTATGAAATGTTGAAAACAAAATACTGTCAAAGTATGAGCAGACAGCTTGTCATTGAAACATCACCAGCTTATTTAATATTAAGAAATTACATATAATTTAGTCAATATTAAAAAAAGTGTTTGATTTTTGAATAAAATTCATGTTTCTATTTAATATTGCCGATTGTTTATTCATGATTATATTATTTTCTTCAATTATTGATATGCGATTTTACTGATTCAACATCACCTACCGTGTGTTTTTCCTATAAACCTCTTGCACTTTTGGATTTTAGCCCTATTCTATCGAATTACAGATTTTAATGCAAAATCTACCGAACATTTTCTCAAATTCTCAAACAGTATATTTAGCAAAACTCTAGAATAGATCAGCATTTCCTCTTTTCAAATTTCAAAACCAAGAGGAGCCCCCTTCTCAATTTTTAATATTCAGCAAGTTTATGCTTTTTGATTTGAAGGGAGAAAAAGATTAATATCACAATTTTCGCAAAGTTTCTGCAACGCAGCCACTCACTTTGAAAATATTTTTCCAATATTTCCCACCATTGTTCAAGATTAAAACGATCCGTTGCTCACAGCGGAAGTTTGACACAATATATCTGTCAATATGTTGAGCATGGAAGTATTACCAACTGTCAAAATAATACCAACTTAAAAAAACAACTGATGGACCACCGCCCACCCTTTAGTTTCGGTGACGATCAGTGGACGTTCATCTTTTTTTCATACAACGGCTGCGACATTCATTTTTTTTCCCTATACCCTTCATTTAATGTCTACTCAAAATCTGCCGAAGCATTTCGCACGAATCTACCAAAAACAGATCGACTATTCCCAGCAGCACAGCAAGCAGTGGCGGACTTAGGAATTGGTTTGGGTGGGGGGGTGGTCGGAGTGATGTTCCCAGGCAGTATCCGCCTCGAGGAAAGGGGGTTGTATGGGCGACTGAAAATTGAAGAGCGGGGTGGAGGGGGCACACATTGCATGATTCAGGTCCAGCAAGGTACTTATACTAAGTGACATATAAATCCGAACACCCAGTTTAAATAGTTTTATTTTAATAAAAGTTGGTGAATGTATTTATCTTACTGTAAATAACAAGTGAAAAAATCTTCAGCCTTATCAGTTGAACATTCCGGTTTTTCTACTGCTTTTTTAATTCACTAACGCTCTAAAAATGAATATTTCAGCCGCAGTAAAGAATCAACGTTGGCGGATTTTGATTCTTGACATCCTTTACGATCGGTTACGATGCCTAGAGTACGGAGACCTGTACGATTTCGTCAACTTAGTGAGTTTGATAGGGGCCGTATAGTGGGACTTCGGGAAGCTGGACTTTCATTTCGGGCAATTGCAGTTAGAGTGCAAAGAAGTGTAGACACTGTGGTTAGGTGTTGTCAGGCATGGCTTCGAGAAGGCCGTACGCAAAGAGCAAGTGGCACTGGACGCCGCCGTAGAACAACAGACCGTGAAGATCGCCGCCTAAGATTATTGGCCTTAAGGGACCGTTTCTCCACTACCAGGTCCACTGCAAATGAATGGTTTGCAGAACACGGAAGACTTATTGGCATGCGAAGTGTTTACCGACGAATGAGAAGTTTTGGCTTGTTTTCATACCGGCCACACTGGGTCCTCCTTTTAACTCGAGAACACCGACGTAATCGCCTTGAGTGGTGCAGACAACGGTCACTCTGGGATCAGGAATGGAACAGTATTGTCTTTAGTGACGAGTCTCGATTTTGTTTAGGCATGCACGATGATCGTGCCAGGGTTAGAAGGCGATGTGGTGAAAGGAGGAATCCACAGTTTTTTGTTGAAAGACATGTTCATCACACTGTTGGAGTTATGGTTTGGGGTGCTATAGCTTATGGATCCAGGTCACCTTTAATCTTCATCAGATGTAACATGAACGCGCAGCGTTATATCCACGAAGTTCTAGAACCCCATCTTTTACCCTATCTTGACACCCTGGCAGATGAAACTTTCCAACAAGATAATGCCCGACCACATGTTGCAAGAGTCACAATGGACTTCTTTCAACACACAAAATGGTTCTTACTCCTATACCTTCGTGCAAAAATATACTAAGTGACATATAAATCCGAACACCCAGTTTAAATGGTTTTATTTTAATAAAATTTTGTATAAGTACTTAATGAAGCATAATAAGTAAATGATAAAAATTTCAAAATTATCGCATTGCTTTAAAGCCCTTTGACCTTTAATAATGTGTGGATGCACCCTGATGTGCTACGCATTCTCCAACGCGCCTAGGCATGCTTCTGATCAGGTGGTCAATGTCCTCCTGTGGTATCTCATTCCAGGCAACCACCAACTCCTCTCGAAGTGCTTCTAGAGTCTGAGGAGGACGTTGCAAATTGAGCAATCTCCTACCCATCATATCCCACACGTGCTCAATTGGGGATAAGTCGGGAGATCTTGGTGGCCATGGTAACAATGTGACATCATTATGTTGAAAGAAGTCTATTGTTACTCTTGCAACATGTGGTCGGGCATTATCTTGTTGGAAAGTTGGATCTACCAGGGTGTCAAGATAGGGTAAAAGATGGGGTTCTAGAACTTCGTGGATATAACGCTGCGCGTTCATGTTACCTCTGATGAAGATTAAAGGTGACCTGGAACCATAAGCTATAGCACCCCAAACCATAACTCCAACAGTGTGATGAACATGTCTTTCAACAAAAAACTGTGGATTCCTCCTTTCACCACGTCGCCTTCTAACCCTGGCACGACCATCGTGCATGCCTAAACAAAATCGAGACTCGTCACTAAAGACAATACTGTTCCATTCCTGATCCCAGAGTGACCGTTGTCTGCACCACTCAAGGCGATTACGTCGGTGTTCTCGAGTTAAAGGGAAGACCCAGTGTGGCCGGTATGAAAACAAGCCAAAACTTCTCATTCGTCGGTAAACACTTCGCATGCCAATAGGTCTTCCGTGTTCTGCAAATCATTCATTTGCAATGGACCTGGTAGTGGAGAAATGGTCCCTTAAGGCCAATAATCTTAGGCGGCGATCTTCACGGTCTGTTGTTCTACAGCGGCGTCCAGTGCCCCTTGCTCTTTGCGTACGGCCTTCTCGAAGCCATGCCTGACAACACCTAACCACAGTGTCTACACTTCTTTGCACTCTAACTGCAATTGCCCGAAAAGAAAGTCCAGCTTCCCGAAGTCCCACTATACGGCCTCTATCAAACTCACTAAGTTGACGAAATCGTACAGGTCTACGTACTCTAGGCATCGTAACCGATCGTAAAGGATGTCAAGAACCAAAATCCGCCAACGTTGATTCTTTACTGCGGCTGAAATATTCATTTTTAGAGCGTTAGTGAATTAAAAAAAAAGCAGTATAAAAACCGGAATGTCCAAGTGATAAGGCTGAAAATTTTTTCACTTTTATTAAAATAAAACCATTTAAACTGGGTGTTCGGATTTATATGTCACTTAGTATATATGGAAATACCACAATGGACCACGATGTTTTGCCAATATTTTGCCCTGACTAGCGCTATCCTTCTCGTTTCTCATTCTAGCCGCAATGAATTCGCGTTACGACTGTTCCATCAGTGTTGACAGTTCATTGGGTGGGCCCCAAGAATGGCCACCAAGGTCCCCAGATCTCAACAGTTTAGATTTCTTTTTGTGGGGCTATCTTAAGACACTAGTGTACACAAGTCCCATTAACACTGTAGAGGAATTAAGAGAGATAATAGTTGCAGCTTGTGATAGAATAAAAAACACTCCAGGGATATTTCAACGAGTGCACAATTCCATGAGGAGGAAGCATGCATACTAAGTGAAGGGTGCTATTTTCAAACAATTTTTGTAATCATTTCCTTATGTTGATGTTGTCAGTTGTTGTTGTTCATTACCCCTAATGTGTTTAATTTTTCCAATTAAATTAATAATAATTTGGCAAGTTGACAATAGAACGGTTTTAATTTTTTTTACTCAAAATGGCGCATCGAAGGAAAACAATTCAAGAGAGATCATTTGTTTTAAATTGAACAGGGAATTCAAAAATATTTTTTATTTGACAAAAAACCATTGACGTACCATTTTTTTCTTAAAAAATATCGAAGTCAATACCCATACGCACGCCACTGTTAAACCTAAAAATTATTTTTTCATTGAAAAGTACGCATCTTTATTAACTTTCACTACGTACTAAATATCAGTGAAATATCTGAGGCGGTTCTCAAAATATTAATTAATTTCCATGTTTTTCCTAAAACTTCAACACCCCGAGTTTTTGTAAGAAAACATGTTTGGACCATAGTTTATGAACCAACCTAAATTAATTTTCCATGTAGATTCACACCCTCAAATATTCGCATATCATTAAGGAACACCCTGTATATCCAACAACGATAAATAGCGATATTTGTAGGAAGTCAAAAACAAAAAACGGTCAAGAAAAATCCACTGAAACTACCGAAGATCACTTCTCCTATCTACTGTTTAACTTTTGTCGTACTCTTATTTTATCTTTGTATTTTTCATTTCAGTACCCCGTCATATGACCACGCGCCGAACCCAGACAAGCAATGGATCCTCCAAGTTACAAGAAACATGGAACCCATACATCGACAATTCACCAACTTACTGATGACCAAGAGATTGCAGACGCTCCAATCTGTAGATGCTGCCGTGGAAAGGGTCGTAAACGAGCTGAGGGACCTAGGGGAACTTGAAAACACCTACATCGTGTACACTAGTGACCACGGTTACCATCTTGGACAGTTTGGACTTATCAAGGTAAGACTACATATTTTTATACAAAATTTCACTACTATGAATCTAGTTTTCCATGGAATATCTTGTTAATTTACCTTTAAACATTTTCAAACTGGCACACAACTAGATATCATTACTTAATTTGTTAAATTCATACAATCGTTTTTGAAATACTGATTTTTCAGTTATATTACTACTACAATTTTGTAAACGAAAGTATATACTCCCTCTAGTAGACTATGGTACTCATTGTTCAATTCAATAAAATGTTCCAAGTGATTTGGTAGATGATTTTTTAACTTGAAAATGAAAACTTAGTCGGTTATGAAATTTTTCCAAAACGGCATTTTTAAATGCGTCAACTCCTTCTTCTGGTGACTGGAGCCTTTGACCACGCAGTCTGTTTTTAATTTTCGGGAAAGTAAAGAAATCGTTAGGACTATATGGAGGATGGTCCAATAATTCCACGTTTTCTTCAGTTAAATACTGCCTTGTTTTGCCTGGTGCGAGCTTGCATTGTCTTGGTGAAGGATGATTCTTCTTTCGAGTTTCGGTGTTGATTTTTCGAACCTCGGTGATGACTTTTGGCAAACAAATGGTGGGATACCAATCCGCAGTAACAGTTCATTGTTCATTAAGAGGAATTGTTGCAATATGACCCGCTTTGACACAAATGTCGCGACCATCTTTTTCGAAACACTTCGAGAACGGATGACTTTTGTTGGCTTTTCTTCACTTTGGAACACCCAAACTGCCGACTGTCGTTTATTTTCTGGTTCATAACAGTAAATCCATGATTCATCACCACTAACAATGCTGTACACATTTTTTAAGTTTCCGGAATTGAAACGGTCAAGCGTTTTTTGACACCAATAAAGCATCCCACAAACCGGCGCGAAATATTCGCTTTGACTGCGAAAATTTCGCGGCGATGAATTCGCGATCAGACTAAAACGAGGCGGTTTACGGACAGGCTCAGACTTGTGCGAAGCGAATGCGATTGTTCCAGCGTTTTTATCGCGGCGTATTTCAGTTCGCCTTTGACCGCGTTTTTGACGCCGTTCTTCAAAAATTCGCAATGGCAAAAACGGAATTATTGATAGAAATAGTGAAAAAGTATCCTTGTTTGTATGATTTGTCGAACGATGAATACAGGAATGTGAGGAAGAAAGACAAGATTTGGATGGAAATAGGAAAAGAATTAAATACAAATGATATGTACCTAATATTTTTTATTAACTTGTTAAATAATTTACAGTCTACACAAATGTGAAAACGAACATTCTATATATTGGGCATAGGCATATCAGAATTAAAATAATTTACGAATTTTGTCACGAGTAGAAAATGCTAGCCTTGCTGCCCGCCGAGGATCATTTGCTATATCAGTAAAAGCTCCAAGCACGGGTTCTGGGGGATTTAAGAATTGAAAATATTTGTCATCGCCACTTTTACTTCGTAAAAAATTGTGTAAAACACATGCCGTACGTACAATTAGAATAGTAGTATCTACTTTAGTTTCTAATGGCCTGTAAAATATTCGCCATTTTTGAGACAAAATACCAAACGCATTTTCCACGACCCTTCTAGCTCGACAAAGTCTTACATTGTATTTCTCTTTTCTGACGTCTGTTAAAGTCTGCTTATAAGGAAATGGTCTCATAAGGTATGGTTTTAAAGCAAATGCTTCATCACCAATTAAGACGTACGAGCAGATTTCATTTTGCACAGGGAGAAATCTAGGTGCAGGGACACTCATTAAATTTTGTTCAAATCGTTTTCCCATGTTTGAGGTTTCGAAAATACCCCCATCACTATTTTTTCCGAAACCACCAATATCAACACATATAAATTTATAGTCCGGGCCAACAATGGCCATAAGTACTATTGAATATTTATGTAAATAGCACCAGTAATTGGAGCCACTGTTGTTAGGTCTCTTGATTGTTACATGTTTACCGTCCATGCTGCAAATGCAATTGGGAAATCCCCATCTATTTTCAAATTCTTCAGCGCATTTTTTCCATATATTCTCTGTTGGTTCTGGTAAATATATATGCTCCATATGTCTGCATATCGCTTCACAGACTTCGGTTACGATTGCACTCACTGTTGTAAAGCCTACTCGAAAGCTATGCCCAATGGTATAGAAGGTGTCACCAGTGGCAAGGAATCTATAAAAAAAATGTTAGGTGATGAAGTAAAAAAAAGGTGGAAGAATATCAGAGACACATTTGCAAAATATATAAAATCTACCAAACCAAAGACCGGCGAAGCAGTGGGCAACATAAAAAAATGGCAGTGGGCTGACTACATGGAATTTTTCCGTCCTTTTTTGGCATTTGCCAAAACGTCGTCTAATGTGAAAGATGTTGACGTCATACATTATGAGACTGCCGAATTTAACTCAAATACATATCAGGAAAGGGCTGGAAATGTAGAAACCGAAAATTTGGAAGACCGCGGCCATGGAGACGATGAAAATGCTGATGTAGATGCAGAAGATGCACAGAACGCCTCGGCAACACAGACAGCACCACCTTCTTCATTGAACACTACAGCAGTGACTACTCCAGGGCACACCTTTCCGCAGACTGCAACTACACCAAAATATAAAACGAACAGAAAACGCTATGAACCACCATCTTCGTCTGTACAACAGCTCATTGATTATTTTGAAGGTAAAAAACCTAAAAAAGAGAACGAGGCCATTGATTCACTTTTCTTGGCACATGCACAGACTGTGAAAACACTTCCCTTAAAGCGTCAAGCCCGAATAAAACTAAAAATAGCCGAATGAATAGCGCACGAAGAATTTGAACATATTGAAGAAATGTCTTCAGCGTCTACCCAGAATTCTGCAATGATGTATGATAGTAGTATGTCGTCCTTCCCAAGCGGCACTGGGTTTACTCCAATAATATACCCAACAGAGGAGGCAAATTCTGCCTCGAATTATTTAGCACATTTAATCCTAGTGGCAACATGTTGTCCAATTATTACAATAAAATATTTATTTCACGATCCCTGAAGTTTTCGTATTCGATAAGCCTACTAATTTTATTACATATAATTTTTTTACCTGAGTGCAATAGCAAGTCGTTCTTCTGGCGAAATAGCTTCACGATAATTTGTGTCAGATTTTCGTATTTCATCTTTCACCAAGTTCAATATTTCATCGAAACACTCTGGAGCCATTCTAAAATATACGTAAAAGCGCTGTTCATCCAGCCGAAGTTGTGGCATCAAGGTATGGTATTCCCCAAATTTATTTCGTTCCAAGTTAATATCATGTACCCACTTCCTTCGTTTCCTAAACAAAATTGAAAATATTTGTTTTGTGTACTTCGTTAAATTTAATACATACCCAACTATCAAATGGCGTTAAATAAACATAACTTACCGTGCATTTTGTTCCTCTTCTAAAGCAAGAAATAGAAGTGCCTCCTCTTCTTCTGAAGACGAGCTCATTGCAAAAGGCAAAAATAAAATGTACGCAACCTGTCGAAACCTTCACGTTCGCGGAGCGAATAAGACGCTTTGGTATGAATAAACAGGCGATTTGGCGTTTGTGGGATGCTTAATTCTTCATGTAAAAATGTTTGAATTGAGGTCTTTGAGATCTTCAAGGACGCCTCAATCTCGCGATGTGTCACATGTCAATCTTCATATTCCTGGATGACCACCTTGGGATCGCCGCTAAGACTCACCCGTCCACGTTTGAACTCACAATACCAACGGGAAATTGTCGACTGATGTGGCGCTTCGTTGTAGAAAACAGACAGTAACTCAGCAAGGCATTCTTGTTGCGATAATTGTCTATAAAGTTGTAATAAATTATGGCGCGAAAATTTTCTCGATTGAGTTACATTTTTCTAATGACTTGGTGATACTTAAAAATTCACTATAGTCAGAACACTGCACGTATTGCTGTGAAGCTTTGAATTTAAGTTTACTAAAGAGTGAGGTTAAGATTCAGTACTGACGTTCAATTCGCGCGGCCTACTATGTTTCTGTATGCAAAACGTAAAAGACATTTCAGCATAAAATTTATTCTAGTATATTCATTTGATTTTAAGATGATTTATTTTGTAATATTTGCAATTTCGAAAATACAATTCACCCTAAATTGTGTAAAACACAATCTTTTTAGAATAAACGGGTGCAAAAGTTATTTATCTTTCTGGATATTTTTGAAATAATATATTCATAGTTCCCTTTACTATCTACGAATATGCCCAACTATTTAAATGATTCGATTAACTCAATTTTTCATGGTTAATCTGGACCTAGCGTCATTCCCACTGAAGAACGCCAGATTTGAGATGTACGGACCCAAACGTATGTTTTTTTTCAATAAATGCTTTTAAACTTTCCTAAAGTTAATTTCTCAGTGTAAAATGTGACTAAAATGACTATCGTCTGATGTACCTCCGTACACTGGGATGATTTGAGATGCTTTTTTCGCATATGGCGGTCAATGAAGCTTAAAGTTTCGCAAAGATATATTGCGAGTAAAAAATTGACCTTCCCATCGAACACGAAATTGACATCAGATTCGTGATCGATACTCCCGAATTCGTTTTTTAATAGTCACTTTACCAAGCTATGCCAGAACAACCTTAACATCGTGATCATTTATGATTTATATCAATTGGTCTTCAAAACTGCACTTTGATTATTGTCAAATATACTAAGTGACATATAAATCCGAACGCCCAGTTTAAATGGTTTCATTTTAATAAAATTTTGTATAAGTACTTAATGAAGCATAATAAGTAAATGATAAAAATTTCAAAATGATTGCACTGCTTTAAAGCCCTTTGACCTTTAATAATGTGTGGATGCACCCTGATGTGCTACGCATTCTCCAACGCGCCTAGGCATGCTTCTGATCAGGTGGTCAATGTCCTCCTGTGGTATCTCATTCCAGACAACCACCAACTCCTCTCGAAGTGCTTCTAGAGTCTGAGGAGGACGTTGCAAATTGAGCAATCTCCTACCCATCATATCCCACACGTGCTCAATTGGGGATGAGTCGGGAGATCTTGGTGGCCATGGTAACAATGTGACTTCATTATGTTGAAAGA